ATATTCCTGCATTGCGGGGGTGGGGGGTGGACTAGATGATCCTTAGGCTCCCTTAAAACTCTACAATTCTATGATTCTTTGATTCTACGATCTGCAATTCAATCCATGATATAGCTTATAACACACCCCCTCCACCAGTTTTAGATATCTATACAATAAGGAACATGGAAATCTATTTATAATGTAGCATATTTATTTACTTGACTTTTAACACCCACTTTCATCCCAGACTACTCTTCTACATGCATCTCTACCTGGAAGCTGCCTCTTCGTTCCCATATATCCACGAGCCAGCTAGACAAAGAATGACTGGGAGCAGGGTATTGGCTTTTCCTGCCCTTAGGCCTTGAACCAGAACCTGATGTGCTGGCATGAGCAGGTGAAGCTTTTCACAGGGCAGCCATAAATATTGGGTTGCCTCCAGTGCTAGGCAACTGGCAATCTTCTCGCTCATTGGGACTTCTTCTCCTCTCCCTGTGCCTTCACCTCATCCAAAATCTGCTCCAGAGGTTCCCCCAAAGGCTCTGGAGCAGATTTTGAGGGTAGGTGGGGGGGGGCTGCAAAGGAAAAGAGAGGAGGGGGAAGTTCTGCTGTACAAGTTGAAGCTTGTGCAAGCAAAACAGCCATGTTAGGGTCACCTTCTAAGGTCTGCACTGCAAGCCACCATTAGAGGCACACCTACAATGGCAACTGTAGGCAAAGGTGCTGAGAGCTGTGCCTTCACCTTGGTGATGCCAATATTATGGAAAGCCCCTTTTCAGACAAGTTTTCCTGCTCCCTCCACTGACAGCCTCACATCACCATCTAAGAACTATGGCAGGCATTATCTGCTGGTTTTACAGGATGTGGTTGAAACTGTGCTGTTTTTAGCTTTTTTTAAAATTATTATTATTATTCAAGTCTTACTGATATTGTACTTATCATGGGTAATACAGTGGTACCTCGGGTTACATACGCTTCAGGTTACATTTGCTTCAGATTCCGCTAACCCAGAAATAGTACCTTGGGTTAAGAACTTTGCTTCAGGATGAGAACAGAAATCGTGCTCTGGCGGTGCAGTAGCAGTGGAAGGCACTATTAGCTAAAGTGGTGCTTCAGGTTAAGAACAGTTTCAGGTTAAGAACGGACTTCCGGAATGAATTAAGTACTTAACCCGAGGTACCATTGTATTATTTTTGGCTCTTACTCATGTACCTCTTTGGGTCCCATCTGACAGCAGATGCCCACAATTTATAGGCGTCCAAATACACACCCATCTCATGGGTGACATCCACACCATTCCTTTAAACCACTCTTATGCCACATTTAAAAGTCACGGCATCCCCTAAAGAATCCTGGGAACTGTTGTATCTTTGTCGGAGAGCTACAATTCCCAGCACCCTTAGCAAACTACACTTCCCTGGATTCCTTGGGGGAAACTATAGCTGTTAATGTGGCATAAGACTGCTTTAAATGTTTGGTGAGAATGTGAGCACACTTACTATATTTTTCCGTCTAAAGATGCCCATGTATTGGGGGACTCCAAATTAAGAAAACATCCCTCAGCACTACCCATGTATAAGACAAGCTCCAATTTTAAACCTAATTTTTTGGTTTAAAAAAAGCTAGTCTTATATAGTGAAAAATACGGTACTTCTTCCCCATTGCCACTGTAATCCTATTTGGGCATTATCCTTCATGCAGACACCAGGATCATGCCCACCAGCTCCACCCTGCCCAGCCCACTGCCCCTGTCCCATATCCCCTCCCCTGCTGGCTCTGCCCCCCACCCCCATCCATGGGATGCAGATAAGGTCTGTAGAACAAAGCCCACCATAATTTCGAAGCCAGATCATACAGGGCTTATAAATCATGGAAGTGAGGAACCTACACACCAAGAGCAGGTGATACTGAGCTAGATTGATCAGTACATACTGCTACGTATTAGAGTAAAGGGTTAAAGCCTATCTACCCATAGGCAGCCCCTCCTCAGACAAGACATTTTGCTGCCTGAGGCAGACAAGATGGTTCTCCTCGCAGTGGCACACACAGAAGCTGCCTGGGGATTGACAGCTGAATTTTACTTCAACACTAGACACGTGTCAGCTTTCCCCACCAAACCTGAGGGCAACAGGCTAGCTTAGGGGGCGCAGGATAAGCTCTGTCCTTCAGCACCTTGCTGCCAGCCCCACCCTCAGCATTCACTGCCTGAGGTGGCCACTTCATTCTGACTAATGGCGGGGATGGCCCTGCCCAAGTCTACCTCAGGCCCAAAACCTATTTGGCCATATCTGGTCAGAGGCCTTTCCATGATAGACCTTTGGTTTGATCCATAAAGACAGTTCATATGCAAAACGGTCTTATAAGACAATCCTACTCAAGGGACGCGGGTGGCGCTGTGGGTAAAAGCCTCAGCGCCTAGGGCTTGCCGATCGAAAGGTCAGCGGTTCAAATCCCCGTGGCGGGGTGCACTCCCGTTGTTCGGTCCCAGCGCCTGCCAACCTAGCAGTTCGAAAGCACTCCCGGGTGCAAGTAGATAAATAGGGACCGCTTACGGCGTTTCCGTGTGCGGCTCTGGCTCGCCAGAGCAGCGATGTCACGCTGGCCACGTGACCCGGAAGTGTCTGCGGACAGCGCTGGCTCCCGGCCTCTTGAGTGAGATGGGCGCACAACTCTAGAGTCTGTCAAGACTGGCCCGTACGGGCAGGGGTACCTTTACCTTTTACTCATGTTTACCCAAAAGTATATGCCTTGGGTTCTGTGGGGCTTACAAACTGGTAATAGCCTTCTGGCAGTTCCCTCACTGTGAGAAGTGAAGCTACAGCGAACCAGGCAGAGGGCATTCTCGGTAGTGGTGCCTGCCCTGTGGAACCCCCTTCCACCAGATGTCAAGGAGATAAGTAACTACAACTTTTAGAAGACATCTGAAGGCAGCACTGTATAGGGAAGTTTTTAAAGTTTGATGTTTTATCATTGCAGGCCTAGGCTACCACTTATTCCTGGGACCTCCTCTAGGAAAAACACACACATATGACACGGGTGGCACTGTGGGTTAAACCACAGAGCCTAGGACTTGCTGATCAGAAGGTCGGCGGTTCGAATCCCCCGACGGGTTGAGCTCTTGTTGCTCTGTCCCTGCTCCTGCCAACCTAGCAGTTCGAAAGCACGTCAAAGTGCAAGTAGATAAATAGGTACCGCTCCGGCGGGAAGGTAAACGGCGTTTCCGTGCGCTGCTCTGGTTTGCCAGAAGCGGCTTAGTCATGCTGGCCACATGACGCGGAAGCTGTACGCCAGCTCCCTCGGCCAATAAAGCAAGATGAGCGCCGCAACCCCAGAGTCGGTCACGACTGGACCTAATGGTCAGGGGTCCCTTTACCTTTACTATGACATTAGCAGCATATCCCAACCTTTGCACCAACTTGGAGCACCTCAGTTACATTCAAAATGTATATCCTATGCCACAAACACCTATCTGTAAAGAAAGTCACAGTGAGACTGGGAGAATACGCATCAGAGCATAGCAACCAGCTCCTAGGGGCTGAGGTGACTTCGCCCTCCCCTAATAAAATATTTGATGAGGCTCCCCCCCCCAAGTTGATGGGCACTGCCTTTCTAATGGTGTGCGTGTGCCGTGTCTTGTGATCGATTATGCTGGGCGAGGGTTACCTGCCCCCCCCCCGATTTTATTCAAGTTGGCACCCCTGGCTTCAGAGCATTACGTTTAGCCATCACAGAAACAAACGGACCCAGGACCAGTTGACCCTCTCATTTTGGGGGACTTAACACAGCAAAGTTTGTGCAATCTGGACGGTTCTGCCCTCTCTCATCCCCATAATCAAAACGAAAAGCTGCCAGACCACATTAGAGCCTATTAGACAAAAGTGCTTTCAAATGGATGACAATATCTGAATCACACATCAACACTGGCTCACTGGCTGCAAATGTCCTGACACAGAGTTTGTGTTACTCCTGGTAACGGATCCGAAGTTCAAGACAGCATTGCTTAGGATTCAGTGGATGGGTGGGTTTAAGAGAGGTTCACTTCTTATTGATTCATCTTCCACAGTTTTATACATTTCCACATATAATTATGAAACATAGCATCTGTCCATAATTACTCCATTTATACAATAGTAATAATATTAATAATAAAAATGTCGGCCGGGGTCCTCTAAAAGGCAGGATTTAAGCATGACATTGTCCGCCGCTTCTAATTAATTTGGGACAAGCAGGTAACAAATTATGAATAAGGAAAAAATATATATGTCTCCCCTCCCCCGCCCCCTTCCTTTGCAATTACAGCATCAAAATGGCTCACATCGCATAGCACCACTATCATCTCCTGATACAAAGTGTCCCTCACGGATTTGTATGGCCAGGATAAGAAGAGGCAATCTTGCCTTGTATCAGGGGGAAGGAATGTGAGCTAAGACTTTCAGTACTTGGGTTTTAGCCAAATCTTCCTATATGCACGTAGCTTTCCAATGATTTCAACGGGATTCCTTCCTAAATCCGGGCTCCCAAAAGCCTACGCACCCTTACTTGGGGAGTTAAGTCCAACTCAAAGCACTTTTGAGGAGGCTCGCTCTGTGGTGCATTTCTTACGGTCCACTGAAATCAGCGGGATTTGGGAGAGGCAGAAGATGGGGAGAACGTATAGCTGAGCGAGGAGGAGGGTATCTAAGCGGGGCGTAGAGGCGCGGAGGGAAGCCTGCTCTATCCCAATTCCAGACACACTTTTGCTCGGAAGTTCCGTTCCATTCATTCCAATGAAGCTCGCTTCCAAAGCGGAGCTGTGCTCAGAATGGAGATCAGAACAGGCGCGTTTCAGTTTCCCTTGCAGGGCTCCATCAAGGACTTTCCTGGGGCTTGTCCAGCATTTTCTGGCGTCTAATAATTAACACACACACATACACACACACAAAAAAAGACTGCAAAGATCCCAGGGTCCTCCTGGCGAAGGAGCGCGGCGCCTTTTCCCGCTTCGGGATGGATGCGCCCGAGTGACAGAATATACTTACGAGGAGAGATCCGGGGCGAAGAAATCCACCGCGAAGCCGAAGTAACTCCCTTCGGAACCGGAGTAAACAGTTGGGCTCTCCACGTCCAGGTTGAAGGCGCTGCCCGGCGCCAGTAGGCGGCCCACGAGCAAAAACAACCAGAACCCAGCCATGGCCAGCAAAAGCGATGCCCAGCAGATGCCCTGTAGAGACGGGTCCTTCCAAGCTCCCCCCTTGGGATTTGGTTTTATTTTTTTGCGGGCACCCCAACTCTCCAGCCAAGGAAGGGTTGCGGGAGATCCGATTCCGACACGGCGAAGCAGGAGCTGCGAAAATTACTCCACAGCCAGCCGGTGGGACTGACCACTTCCTTTTTTGTTTTGTTCCCTGTTTCTCCAGGACGGGCACAGACTGGGTCGTGGGCGGGGAAACAGGCGCAGCCGCCGCCAACGCCGCCAGCCTTGAGCCGTCGAACCGCCCCCATTGCTCCAAGGGGGCCGGGCGAGGAGAGAGCGAAAGGCGGATCATCGCCATCATGTGACTGTCTGGAGAGGAGGAGGAGCGGGCGGGCGCTTGAGTGCGAGCACTAGGGAAAAGGCGGCCTTGGTCTCTCGCAGGGGTTGCTCTCTCTTCGGTCCGGCCGGAGGCGGGAGAGCCTCGGCTCCTGCTGACCGCGGAGCGAGTGCACGATCAGGCTGGGTAGGCACCGAGAGCGACGAATCATTTCCTGGAAAACGGGCCGACACTACAAGGCGAACCGAGCTGGGCCTCAGCATGCCCACCTGTAAAATGGGGGTTCTAGCAGTCAGGTGCGGTTAACAATAAATCTTGGCGGGGGGCAACATGGCTGTGGACGGAGGGTCCCTTAGTTAAGCATGAATGGGTGAGTGAATGGGTACCCACAGTAAAAACGGGCACCGTTTTGCTCATCCCCTGGTTGTATTGCTGCTCTAAACCATGGTTTCACTTCGCATTGTATGTGCAAGGCTCTGGTTTGTCTCACTCTGTAATGAAGGTTTGTTCTTAGTTTGTTCTTTGTCCTGGCTTATCTGGGGAAAACAAACCAGGAATCCATTTTTCCTATACTTACTCAACTAATGAAAGTTGTAGGAAGCCTGTGTTCTTCATCTTGGCTACTCTGAATTTGCTGGACCAGGATTGCTACTTCTGAACCAGGACATATTCAGTTCCACAGTCTAAAGGCTGAATCAAAAAGAATTTTCTTCCTGATTTAAATAGTTTCTCCCATCAAGTAGTTGTTTAGCATCCTGTTTATTGAAAAGTGAACTGAGCAGAAAAAACCCTAGACCTGAAGAAAACGTAGTTGGTTAATTATTACTGGGTTTATTATCCCTCTTCCTCATACTCCCACCATTGTTGGATTTAAAAAAAGAATCCTTCCGTAATATTTGTTTCCTCCTTGTGTTTTGATGTGTGTCAGAAGGGCAGCAACTGAGTTAATTAAGGCAGTTGTTTTGCCAAGTCAGCAAACTGCCTCCTACCACGCTGAGTCATCTCAAAGAAAAGGAAGTCACAGAGTCATTTACTGTATGGACTTCAGTCCCTACAGGCCTTGCAAAAAAAACCCCAGCAACCCAACCCTCCAGCTGTCTAGACATATTCAGGGTGTAGCTACACATCCTTATATGGAAATGTGCCTCCCCCCCTACAATTAAAAAAAAAAATCCCCAAGGGCACCAGAACTAGGAAAGGTAAGGATGTGAGTGTACCCTAACAAGTTTGTAATATGACTAAAGAGGAATGGTCGCAGGCCAACAAGATAATGTATTACATTCAGCTGCAAAACAATTCCTGCCTTTTGGAATGAATGACTAAATCTGATTGATCTACGGCTAACAAAGGATTACAAACACTAATTTTAGGTTGAATAGACGAGAACGACTTGTGGCTAAGTGGAGTTCTGGTGAACAAAACCCTTATCTCGCCTAGAAGTCGAAAACATTGTACTTCTGATTTTGCTTCCTCAGTGTTTGGGTACAGCTGCAAAATGAACAACTCTAGAATCAGATTCCAGATGGTAAACAAAAATGGGCCGGCATGCTCTTGTTTTTTGGTGTTAGGCTCAGATACCCATCCGAAAGTGGCAATTAAGGGCAGGCTTAAGGAGAGGAGGCTTTTATTTGGTATGTCGTAATGTTGTTCTAGCTATTCAAAAAAAGAAGCAAGATCAGTGACTATGTTGCACAGCTGTAGCAAAAAAAAAGTCTTGTACCTTTAAGACTATAAGGCCCCATCTGCGGTGTACATTGAAAACAGCATACCACTTCAAACTGTCAAGGCTTCCCTCAAATAATTCTGGGGGCTGTCATTTGTTAAGGATGCTGAGAGTTTCTAGGAGATTCTTATTCCCCTCTGAGTGCTACAATTCCCAGAGTTCTCTGAGAAGAGAGATTGACTGTTAAACCATTCTGAGAGAGGAATAAAGGTAAAGGGACCCCTGACCATTAGGTCCAGTCACGGACGACTCTGGGGTTGCAGCGCTCATCTCGCTTTACTGGCCGAGGGAGCCGGCGTACAGTTTCCGGGTCATGTGGCCAGCATGACTAAGCCGCTTCTGGTGAACCAGAGCAACGCACAGAAACGCCGTTTACCTTCCCGCCGGAGCGGTACCTATTTATCTACTTGCACTTTGACGTGCTTTCAAACTGCTAGGTTGGCAAGAGCAGGGACCGAGCAACGGGAGCTCACCCCGTCACGGGGATTCGAACCGCCAACCTTCTGATCAGCAAGTCCTAGGCTCTGTGATTTAACCCACAGCACCACCTGCGTCCCACGTGAGAGGAATAGGAATCTCTTAATAAACTATAGGTCCCAATATTCTTTGGGGGAACCTGTGACTTGTTCCAAGTGGTATGAAATTGTTTTAAGTGCATAGTGCAGATGGGGCCTAACAGATCTCCCATGCATGCTTTCTCAAAAGTAAATCCCACTGAGTTCAGTATGGGTTACTTCCAGGATTGCAGCCTTATTGCGGCTCAAGTTTTCATAGACTAAAGCCCACTTCATCAGATGCAGCCCTTCATAAAAAAAGAACTCTTATGTAGTCCACTCTTGTCATGTCCCATTATATGAGCACTGCAGCGGAACATTTTGTTTTCTTTTTTAAAGAGGCATGTTGTGATTAGCCAGGGAAATTTGGTGTTTTAAGTTTGCTTATGCTTTAGTCCTTTGGGGCCCAAGTTAACTTCTAGTGATGTTCCCTTGTGAACTTTTATCCTATTAAAGTTTTGTTTTGTGACAGCCAAATGTCTCAGTACAAATTAATCTAATCTAATTTGAGCACAGTGGTTTAAGGTCACCACACTGTACATTAAATAGAATGGGATTAATATTTAATTATCTTTTAAAACACTCCTTTGCTTTCTTCTTCTTTTTATAAACTATGTAATATTGAATCTCTAGCCAAGAGAAGGCCTCCCTAGCCAGCTTCAATCTTCTCTTTCCACGCTGGTTTGATTTTCTCAACCCCCGAAACCTGAGATGATGCTCCTGAGGAGAGGTGGGCTTTGATTATAGCAAAGCAATGTTTTAGAGGGGAAAACAAGTCAATGTGGTTATAACCAAGCCTTTGTATTTAAATCTCTGTCTTCCCCTAGCTGGAAGATTCATTACTGGATTTCAGAGAAATATGAATAACCTTTTATACTGGGGTGGGGAAGCCGTGTGCCCCTCCAGGTGTTGTCAGACTTCAGTTCCCATCATCCGATCTAGACTATTTGTCATGCTGGCCAGGGCTGATGGGAGCTGGAGTATAACCATCATCTACAGCAGGGCAGTTCAACCCCTCATACCAAGTGGGCCACAAGAATACTTGGGAGCCCGTGTGGTGTAGTGGTTAAGAGCGGTGGACTCGTAATCTGGGGAACCGGGTTCGCGTCTCCGCTCCTCCACATGCAGCTGCTGGGTGACCTTGGGCCAGTCACACTTCTTTGAAGTCTCTCAGCCCCACTCACCTCACAGAGTGTTTGTTGTGGGGGAGGAAGAGAAAGGAGAATGTTAGCCACTTTGAAACTCCTTTGGGTAGTGATAAAGCGGGATATCAAATCCAAACTCTTCTTCAACACAGAACCTGTTTTAAGCAGTACGCAGCCTGCAATTAATGCTATTTCCTTTCATGCCCAGTTGCCCACCAAAGATATGCTTGTGAAGATGGGATGCCTGCAATAGCACAATGCTGAATCCTACCTGCATTTTCCATTGATAAAAACACCCATTTATGAAGCTGTCTTTTTTCATGGTGGTTTGGATTTAATTATTTATTATGATATGTGTAAACTGCCAACTCGTAAGAATATCATGGCAGCATACATTAAAACGATCCAGACATTCCAAACCCTCGGTCTTAACAGACTGGCAAATGGGTAGCCGTAGCCTGGCATGTTACGGCTAGGGGTTTGACATAGCATTGTAGAGTTGGAAGGGACCCTGAGGGTCATCTAGTCCAACCCCCTACAATGTAGGAATTCTGAGTGGGCTCAAACCAGCAACCTCCTGGTTAACAGCCAGATACACTGATCCATTGTGCCACATTTTTCTGGGCCCTGAGCACTGTTTTTCATGGGTCCTGCTGCACTCTGATTCTGCATATGGATTCGGGCAATATCATTTGAAGTGAGGGCATGGCTTTGTAAGATGGTTCACATTTTATTCTTTACACAGGAACTGTGTTGCTGTTTTTTAATTGTAAAATTGCCTTGGGAGCTGTTACGGCTGAAAAGCAGTCTATAAAGGCAGTCAGTAAATAAATAACTACATCCTGCCAAAGCTGTGGTTCCTTCTGCCTTGGGGCTGTATAGCCTAAATGCTAATCTCTTCAAACAGGTGGGAGAAGAAAACCTGTCCTGACTGAAACAAAAAAAGGCTTGTGCATCTTAAAGACGACTAACCGAGTGCTGGTTCTGAGTGCCATACCTAGTCCAGTAATGTATTCCCACAGTAGCCAACCAGATATGTCTGGGATACCTGCTAGCAGGAAGTAAGAGCAATAGCACATCACTACTCAGGATCCCCCAGCAAATGTTGTGATGCTGCTTCTGCAGGTCCCAGGTTAAATCTCTAAGTGCCTATCCAGACACTGTTGGGAAGCCTCAGGCCTAGGGGAGGGCATATGCAGCTCCCCAAGTTTCTCTGTCAGGTCCTAAAAAGTCTACCTTTCATCAGCCCTGTGTGCAGAGTGACAGGAACAGAGCATACAAAAGTCCAGAGAGAGAAGAAACTGTAAACACGTTACTGAAGTCAATTGAACAGGAACAGTAGGGGAAAAAAACATAGCTTTGTCTGTCTTAAGTCAGGCCTACACAGGCATGGGCATGGGAGAGAAACTCCTTCAGAGCATGAAGGAGAGCATGAAGGGAGAGAAACTCCTTCAGGCATGGGCATGGGAGAGAAACTCCTTCAGAACCACTTTTCTTAATAGTAATAATAATAATTTTATTTTTTATACCCCGCTCATCTGGCTGGGTTT